CATCAGTTGTTAACATTATACTACATTTGGTTTATCTTCTTTTGTCTCTATACCTATACATACAAATATATATACTTATACCAGGAAATATATACGTATACTATGTATATACATATACGTAATACATGTTTTTTCCTGAATGGTTTGAGAGTAAGTTGGCACATGACATGTCTCTACCCCAACACACTTTAGTGTGTACTTCCTCAGAATAACATAATCTGACATACCGACAGTATAATTATCAAAGTCAAGAAATTAACTTTTACAGAATGCTTGTATCTCAGGCCTTATTCAGTTCCAATAATGTTCTTTATATCAAAAGAAAATCCAGGATCATGAGTTGCGTAAAGATGTCATATCTCTTCACCCATTGCCGTCAAGTTGATTCCGACTAATAGCAACCCTATAGGACAGGGTAGAACTGCCCCATAGAGTTTCCAAGGAGCAGCTAGTGAATTCGAACTGCTGACCTTTTGGTTAGCAGCCATAGCTCTGTAACTGCTGTGCCTCCAGGGTTCCTATGTCTCTTTAGGTTTTTTTAAATCTGGCAGTTTATTTGTATTTCAAGACATAGATATTTTTGAAGAGTACAGGTCAGTTATTTTGTGTAATGTCCCTCAGTTTGGGTTTACCTGTTATGTCGTCATGATTCAATTCAGGTTATGTACTTTGGGCAGGAATACCACAGAAGTAAAATGTTGTGTTCTTCTCAGTGTTTCATATCAGGAAGCACATGTAAGTTTGACCCATTACTGGGGATATTAACTTTAATCACTGGATGGTTTGTCTGCCAGGTTTCCCCACTGTAAAGTTAATCTTTACAGGAGAGAAAAGCTGTTCCTGTTTTCCATTTTACTTTACCACTTCTGTTTCTTAGTCTTGAGCTCTTTAGAGTAAAGAGAATTCTTGATGACACTGACCTTATGCCATATGTTTGCATTAGTTTTCTCCAGCAAAAGTGTTGGAGACATTTGCCAAGGTTTCAGAAAATCTTAGCAATGCTGCTCTACAGTGCCCCTAAAAACAGGAATTAAAATAAAACAGGGTTAGAGTTAGCATAAACATATTACATGTGTTTGAAGATTCTGTTCTCTGCAACTTTAGTTATGCAAATTAAAGAGCAAAGTTAGAAGTTTTTAAGTGTAGTTTCCTTTTGTCTGTGTCTCAGTAAATTAAGCACCAAGAGACCACTAATCTGTTATCAGTAGTTAAAGGAAATTCACACCCAGAGTTTCAACCAACTTTTTGGACAGCTGAATTAAGCAGATAATAAAATGCAAATGCAAAAAAGTTAACCTTGAGTTGGCCTAAAGGACTGATGTGTATGTCCTAATAGTCAATATTTGTTGCGTACTTGTTATGTGTCAGACACTGTTGTAAGCACTTCACATTGAATCCTTAAAATTCTGGGGTAGATACCATCTCTGTGATTCAGATAAAGAAACAAATACGCAGAGATTAATAATTGACTTGCCCATGGTCATTTAAGTGTCAGACTGGGATTTGAACCCAGGAATAAGGAATCTATAATTGTGCCACCAACTATTTCTGGATGGTAGTTGTACCTTATAATCAGAGTTATAAATTTGTGCTGTAATTATCTACTTGAATGAACAAACTTCTTTGTCCTCTAGATTAAGGAGACTCTTACTATTCTCACTATAAAAACTAAGAATGTGTTATCTTACTTTTTCCTCTTCTAGGCATGTTAATCCATGTTGCGGGGAGGAGAGAGAAGAGAGAACTTTTTTTTTTTTTAAAGCATTTGTGTGTATAATGAATTGTTTTAAAAAAAAAAACCCATTGCTGTCAAGTCGATTC